AAAAAAAAAAAAAAAAAAAATTTACCTGATTAGTAATTGTTGACATAATGTGTAAACAAATGAAAACCTTCCATAACTTATGATGCACAAACCAATGTGATCGGCTGCTGTGCTCATTTGCATTGGTGGATCCAACTGCCCTCGCATTGCTACCAGTTTGTAAGGCTTCCCAAACCTCAGTCATATTATTCACGTGGGCCTCAACTAGTCCTGGGACATGATGCATTCCTTCTCCAACTTGCTTTATTTCAAGCCTAAAACGAAATCACGGGATCAACATGAAATTGTATAACTCCATCTAGCTTCTAAACAAAGTGAGCAAATATTTTATAGCTACCTTTTCACGCCTTGTTGAGATCCTGAAACTAGCAAATCTCGGATCTGCTCATTGTATACTTCCAAGACGCTTACTGATATTTCGTAATGAACTGTGTTCTTTCGCTCGCCAATAATGCGAAATAGCTCCTCAAGAGTCCGGTAATTGACCCCTCGAGCTTCTTCTGTGCCCTCCATTGTAAATGTCTTGCCACTACCAGTCTGGCCATAGGCAAATATGCAGGCATTGTACCCATCTAGAACTGAGGTTGCCAGGGGAGCAGTGTCCTCAAAAACTTCAGCTATTGTAAAAAGCAAGAGGAAATCATGTGAATAGGGAGAAAATGACACACCAACGAAGTTATTGGTTCCTATACAGGTTATTTAGGCGATTACGGCTGCTGCATCTTATATTATGAAGCCTTTTTTGTACAGTGCTATTTAGACACAATAAGAAGGGGAACCTTGGAGCAACGGTCAAGTTGTCTTCGTGTGACGATCACGGGTTCGAGCAGTGGAAGCAGCCACAAGTATTTGCATTAGGGTAGATTGTCCACATCACACCTCTTGGGTGCGACCCTTCCCAGACCTTGCATGAATGTGGAATGCTTTGTGCATCGGCCTGCCCTTTTTTATTTAGACACAATAACTTTTGATATATTTATAGAAGCTGTTACATGGTGACGGAAAAGAGTTGCTCCATATTTCTGTTTCTTTTTTTTGATCTTTAGGAGTTTCCCATAATTTCTTACTTATGAGATTTATATATTTATATGTAAGAGATTTTCTTATACAGTAAAGAATTTAAAATAACTGATTCTTGCTTGGGTATCAATATATGAATTTTTAGTATTATTCTTGTTTTGTCTTACTCCCAGACTTCTATTACTACTTGATGCTGCTCCGGCTTTGGTTTTTGTTACTATCTCGCTGTCGTTCTTACTGCTTCTTTCCATGTCTTTTTCACTACTATATTTCTTTTTCTTGCTGCTGTGATTATGCTTGCCTTAAGGCTAGGGGCTATTGGAAAATACCCTCTCTATCTGCACAAGGTAGGGGGTAGGGCCTGCGTACACACTAACCTCCCCAGACCCCACTTGTGCAAATACACTGGGGACGTTATTGTTGTTGTTGTTGACTGACGTTAATCAAATCATTATGTTTTAGTTCAAGGAATGCCTCCAAAATAGATGCTTTGCTAACTCCATGAACCTTTTTTTTTCTTGAGAGCAGATTACATTCCTTGGATTTAAAAGACCATTATAGTCAAAAATCACTTGTTGACAGCAATTATAAATTTAGTTAAAGTAAAAGCCTAGCATTATTCTGAACTTAGTCCCGCAGCATTCTTAAGCTTAGCACAAAGCTCCTTAGTTAAAGGGATTGCTAGCACTAGTCTTCACTTAAAAAAAAGATTTAGTTACCTTGGTCGGCTTGGGGGCTAAAAATGGCATCAAACTTGTAGGTCTTTTTAGACATGCCGTTAGACTTCACAGTGAGTTCCCCATCCTTTGCAGCTTCAAAGTCAATCGCCATTGAAGCTCCTGCAGCTGTCTCTTCGGCATTCAAAGGCCTACACCGGCAAAAGACCCTAATGTTCCCTGAAGCAATCCAATAGAGTCAAAAAACAAGCATATGATAATAAACTAATTGCTCTTATAAGTGTTGTAATTTACTTATCCCCTACCTTTTAAATCCAAAACCTTGTTATAAAGCTCCTTCCGTTCCTTAGCACCCTTGACGAACTTGATCTTGAGATCTTCATGCAATTCAACTTGTTCCTTTACTATGATCATAATGAGAGGAATTACAAAGTTAAAAAAGGAGTTTTATTTCTAACATAACCGAACACCAGTATCTACAAAAAGATTTACATTTGGACTGAATGGTAGAGCTCATGTCTGCAAAATCTGCTAGTAATTGCTGCTTATATAATAAAGCTTCTTCAGATACTTTAATTTGATCCATTTTCAGAATCTGCAAAATAAATTTGGAAGAAAATCAACATCTTTACTTATTGGATACAAGAAGCATATGACACAAGCATCAAAATTACCTTCAATTTCCTCGTCAGATCTCTCAAGGATGAAAACCACCTGCTCTTTTCTTTCACTTGGCCCTCAATTGCAAAAGCTACAGGAGGCAAGCAATATCAGTATAGTATTTGTTTTGCAAAAGTTTAAAGCAGTTCTGTTAATGCAAAGTAATTTCTGTACCAAGTGATCCAACGTGCATTGACTTGCGCATGAGCTCATTCTGAAGCTCCTTTAAGGACTTCCATGCTTCAGCACATTCTTTGCATTTTAGTTCATTCTCCCTTTTAAGTTCCTCCACTGGCCACTTTGCTTCTTTCAGTTCCTTTTCGTGACACACTTTTGCTAATTGAAGCCTTTGATCTACCTGAATAATAGCAAAAACAAGCATATTAGTCCAAGCTTCTAATGCTTTTTAGCCACAGCTTTTCTCTTTTATAATGAATAGCGATTAAAGACTTGAACCTCTACTGAGTTGTTTTGCGGAGAATATTTATCGTCTGAAAATTGAATGCCACTCTCAGAACTGATGCTAACTATAGGCACTGAAAGAGAAGGAAGCTCAAAATGCAGGCACAAATCTTCATCCTTTGTAATAACTGGGGGCTGTTCAGATCCCTTAATTCCATTTTCTAGAGAAATAGAGCAACCCTTCAGAAATTCGGGTGAATCTCCATAGCTTCGTCGTGGAATATCCGGTGATCCAGTACAGATCACTAAATCAGGAGATGTTAATGAAAATCCCAACATATCTCTACCTAGTAAAATTTCAAGAAACAAATCACCTTGATCAATATTCAAAATCTTGAAAATCCTAAGATAAAGAAATAAAAAAAAATCAAGTGTTTGTAAAATATCCTACCATTAATTACACTTTCTGCAACTGGATCCTTGAGATTTTCAGCATTATTCCCTTCTAATAAACAAACAATGCACATAAAAATACTATAAATAAATATTATAAAAACTCAATCTTTTTCAATAATTGTTTTAAAAAAGGGGTGCAAAATTATCTTCAATCTTGATTGGGGTACATAAATTAGAATCTTCCATCAATGTATGCACTGAAACATGCAATGAGGCAAAGGGATCAATTCAAAATCTTGAAGAACCCTAAGATAAAGAAAGAAAAATCAAATCTTTTTATGAATTTCCCACCATTAATTACACTTTCTGCAACTGGGTCCTTGAAATTTTCAGCATTAATCCCTTCTAAAAAACAATCAATGCACATAACATAAGATAAATTAGAAAAAAAAATATCAATCTTTTCAAGATATGTCAAAAGAAGGGAATTTTGGTGCAATGGTAAAAGTTGTCTGTATGTGGCCAGGGATCACGGATTCAAGTAGCGGAAACATCCTCTCGTAGAAATGTAAGGTAAGGTCGCCTACCCCGAATCCACAGCATAGTGGGAGCTTAGCCAATCGGATAGCTTTCTTTTTCAAGAATTGTTAAAAGGGAGTGCATAATTACCTTCAATCTTGATGGGGGTACATCTAGTAGAATCTTTCAGTCCCATCAGTGTATTTCTTGAAACATCCAATGACGAAAAGGGGTCTGCCAAATAAGGAGTAATTAAGAGAACAAAGAGTATGAGAATAAGCTACAAACCCATGTAAAATTTGACACCAGTGTCTGTACAAACAAGTCTCTTACAGTATTTGTGAGAGTTAATTAGTGATAGTTGTTGCTCTTCTTGTTGTTGGGAAGAAACGTCTGTAATAAGAAGTGGATCTTGCCACTCATCAAGTTCCATTTGATAAAGGGTAAGAGTTTTTGAAATGAAAAGAGAAGTGGTAATCAAATACACTGAAAAAGAGAGGGGGAAAAGGGATTCAATGCTTTTAAATTTTCAGAGAGAGAGAGAGAGAGAGAGATATGAAAGTTCCTTTTGAAAGAACGTTGATTTCTCCATATGATGAAAGAGACGACCGTTAGTCTTTTTTTGAAATTTGAAATTTCTAAACCGGGTTAAATAAAATGTTAAAATGCCAAAAAAGGCTAGCTAGGATTCTAATCAAAGTATCTCTTTAAGAAAAATAAAATAAGATTTAGAAAAAATGTCTCTTTTGTTTCTTTTTAACGCATAATCAAGAATTTTTCAAAACCATTTTAATATTAGTTTGACATAGGATGTCTCCGTTTAATTGGCTATGACTTTCATTTTTAACACTGTAATTTGAATTGTGACATTTATCTTGCCTATCGAGTTGTTCTCATATCGTTATTTTTCTACAAATATAAGAAAAAATTGTAAAAATTATTTTACTTTTAGACCTAAGTCCAACAATTGTGATCATCTGTAACAAAGCATTTTGATACTTAGTTTAACTAACTCTTACAGAATTAATTAGAAATAATATAATACAACAAGCTGTGCGTTGGTGCCAATAGCAACAATATTCTTCATAAAACTACCTCTGTATAACAGTATACTCAAGTAATAATTTCTTTTTCATGATTAGTTTTTTCCTTTCACTATAATGATGCTAATTTTGATTAATTTTACTAAATTTTTCGCTCCCATTTCTAGTCATTTAATTTTTATATTTAACGCATTAGCTACAACGTTGGTGTGATAAAGCCAATTATAAAAATAAAAATCTAAGATATACCGTAATAATAAGATATTCTAACTAACGAAGAATCTTAACTTACTACTACTTGGGCTGAGATAGAAGATCCAATTGTTAAGCTTTTAGACTCCTCTCAAGAGATCTGAAGGTAAAATATTCATGTGGCGCTCAGTTTTGCGCCACCGATTGAATTTGTATCCACTTTTTAAAAACAGTTTAACTGATACCCAATTTTTTAGTAACTTCAGATACATACATTTTTCTCTTCTTCGTCACGGTTACTTTCTTCTTCTTTGTGCTTAGGGTTTCTTCTTCTTCTTCGTTACAAAATGAGTTTGGTAAATTTGTTGTTGTTTTAGCAATTTGATGATTGAAATTTGTTCTTTATGATATTTGAAAGTTATGTTTCAAATTTGAGCTCATTTGGAGTAGATTTGGGTGTTGAATCGTGTATTGGATTGTTGAAATTTGAAAAACAAGTTTATGTTTCAGAACTTTAGATTCGAAATTTGAAATTGTATTGAAGAGCTTGAACTACTTAAGATTTGAATTTCTAAAGTTGCAATTGAAAGATATGAGAACTTCAAATTCGAAATCTAAAGTTGTATTAAAAATATTGAACTACTTCATATCCGAGCGGGTATACTTTGTAAAGTTTTGTACAATGCGGGTATAACTTCAATGGTGACCCCAAAAGTGGGTATATATGCAAATACCCCGAAGGCTATGATACTCTTTTGTTAAAAGTTTGGCCTCAAATTTTGGTGATTCATGTGTCACGACCCAAAATTCCACCACAGACGTCGTGATGGCACCTAGTCACTAAGACTAGGTAAGCCGATTTCAATTACATTTTTGGAGCTATTTTTTTAAAAAAAACTAACAACAGAAATAATTAAAATATACAACCTCCCAAGACTGGTAGTACTGAGTCAAGAACTCTAACTGAATACATGGAATGATCACGAGGACCGAATATACAATATTGTTTGATTACAAATTAACAGTACAATGAAATAAAAAGACTCCAAGGGACTGCGACGACTAAGCAACTCTACCTTGAATCCTTACGATCCCGCTTTAACTCTCCTCAAGTCCGATGTCTCCAATACCTAGCTCTGCATAAAAATGTGCAGAAGTGTAGTATGAGTACACCACGGTCGGTACCCAGTAAGTATCAAGACTAACCTCAGTGGAGTAGAGACGAGGTACAGTCAAGACACTCACTAGTCTAATAACATGTGCAATATAATATACAAAATAATAGGAAATAAATAACAATAAGGGCAACATAAAACAACTAGTGATGTGCACAGTAAGACAATAAAATCACCATTAATATCGCTCAACAATTGATAAATACATTTACACCCAGTTAAATCAAGTTCTTCAATTAAATATCTTTCACGCATAATTCTTACGAATAAAACTCTTTTTCAAATATAATTTCCTCAAATAAACATCTTTCGAATATAAGATTCTTTCAATAAATATCTTCAAAAATAATTTTCTTAAATAAATATCTTTCAAATACAATTCTTTCATATAATTCTTTTTGAATAAAAATTCTTCCAAATAAATATTTTTAATATAATTATTTCAATTAAAAGTCACCATGTGACACCTCATTTCAAAATCATAAAAATATATTTTTCGTAAACACGGGTCTCAGCCCATTTTTCATGTTTTCACGGTACCTCGTGCCCATAATTAAATCATTATATTTTTCAGGCACCTCGTGCCCTCATTTCATATCACAACTGCACTGACAACTCACGTGCCAAATATCATTATCATTTCATCACAACACCTCGTGCCCACATTTCACATCTCAACTGCACGGACAATTCATATGCCAAATATTCTCATTATTTACTCACGGCACCTTGTGCCCACATTTCATTTTATAATCTGCCTGGCCATAGCCACAGGCTCTCAATTTCAACATAAATCAGATTGTTATTAATTTATCAACAACAAGACAAATTGCACTAGGTATAAAAATAAACACGAAAAAATCACAACATCACATGAAAAACATCAACACCACAACCCCACATCATCACATATCGTCCCTGACAATAGCCACCTTTATCGCTCCTATTGCCACTCTTATCGCTCTTATAGCCACTCTTATCGCTCCGCCCAGACAATATTCCAACAAACACAACAGTGAAATGCGACCCTTATAACCACATAATATCAACAGTGAAATGCCACCCTTATCTCCCCAAAATAACAACTCGCACAACACAACAATTTACAAGGGAAATTATCACAGCAACATAACAAAATCAATTCATATCACAATTTGCCCAATGGCCACAACCAAATTTCAAAGCTACAACCATGTCAATTAATTTCACAACAAATAGCCAAAAGCTCCACACAATGTGTACAACACCCAAAAACAATCAATAGAGATAGAAATTACTCAACATAAAGCAAAGTCTTCATTAAATTTAAATTTTCAATAATTATATAAATACTTCTTCTTAAGCTCATTTAATTAATTATCTGCAGAGGAAAAATCCATAATGAAATTAAATTCCAATAATTATCAAGCCAATAAATTCACGGAATTACATAAATAATCAAGTAACAATCACATCAAATTGTCATATAACAACAGATTCAACAACAACAAGGATTTAGGCACGACAATTAGATGATTAAATATATACCAACAATTATCTAATTTACCACACAATATGCTCAAGACTTTAACTCAATACAAATTTACACATATAAGCCGAGTACGTACTCGTCACCTCGCGTACACGGCTTTTCATATTTTATAAATGGCACATAAGACTCGATGCCTAAGGGGTAATTCCCCCACTCGAGGTTAAGCAAGACACTTACCTCTTTGAAGTTATGCTGATATTCAAAAATCGCCTTCTTGCTTGAATTGACCTCCGGACCGCTCAAATCTATCCAAATTAATTGTATAACTTCATTAAAATTCATCGGAAACAATTCTGAATATTAATACGTCGACTTAAAATTTTATTCTAAAAAGTCAACAAAAGTCAACGCGGGACCCGCCTTTCGGAACCCGACATAATTTTCATAAAATTCGAACACCCATTCCGATACGAGTTCAACCATACCAATTTTATCGAATTTCAATAATAAATCGACCTCTAAATCTTAAATTTAAACCAAGAGGATTTTCTAAATATTTTAACCCAATTCACTAATTTAGTTATAAAAACAACAATAGATTCATGTAACTTAACCAAAATCAAGTTAGAAATTCTTACCCCCAATGTTTTCCTTGAAAAACTCCCGAAAAATCGCCTCACCCGAGCTTCCTTGTTCCAAAAATGGAAGAATGACACAAATTTGGACTTTATTCTGCTGCCCAGGGGTTTGTTCTTCGCGTTCGCGAGACTCCACTCGCGTTTGCGATGAACAAATTCTTCAAAAGTCATTTTCAAACTCTTCTGAGACAGCCTTTAGTAAAATGGTCATAACATTTTGTACAAAACTCCAAATGATAAATGGTTTGACTTTATGAAAACTATACCCAAAGGGCTATAACTTTAATTTGTTGTTCATCTCCCAACTCCTTATAGATTACGAGATATAAGCTTCAAAGGTCAGCCCTGTGCAACAGAGATTTCCAAAATCTTTCCGAATAGCCTATAGTATATCCACTATAACGTTTTGTACACAACTCCAAATGACAAATGTTTTACTTTTCTGAAAATTAGACATAAAGAGCTACAACTTTTATTTTTGGATCATCTCCAAATTCCTTATACATTGCGAGATATGAGCCTCTAAAGTCAGACGACGAACAGCAAAATTTCCTTCTTCGCGAACGCGAAGAACAACACCAGAACCAGTAACCAGCAGCATTAAAACACCCAAACTTGGTCCGGAACTACCCCGAAACACACCCGAGCCCCTCGGGACCCCGTCCAATCACACCATCCAGTCCCATAACATAACACGGACCTGCTCGAAGCCTCAAATCACATCGAACAATATCAAAATGACGAATCACACCTCAAATCAAAATCTATGAACTTTGAACTTTCAAATTCTATATCTTGTGCCGAAACACATCAAATCAAACCGGAATGACTTTAAATTTTGCACACAAGTCATAATTGACATAACGAAACTATTCAAATTTCCAGAATCGGATTCCGACCCCGATATCAAAAAGTCAACCCCCCGGTCAAACTTTTCAAAAATTCGACTTTCGCCATTTCAAGCTTAAATTGGCTACAGACATCAGATTCACAGTTCGGACACGCTCCTAAGTCCAACGAAACCGACGAAACTCCATTCTAGAGTCGTCTTCAG